GGGGGGGGAAAAAAAAAAAAGGGGGAAAAGGGGGGAAAGGGGGGGGGGGGAGGGGGGGGGGGAAAAAGAAAAAAAAAAAAAAAAAAAAAAAAAAAAAGGAAAAGGAAAAAAAAGGGAAAAAAAAAAAAAAAAAAAAAAAAAAAAAAAAAAAAAAAGGGAAAAAAAAAAAAAAAAAAAAAAGAAAAAAAAGAGCGTTGGCATCCAACAAACAAACCAGCTCAACACCAGGAGAGCGATGTGAAGCGATAGCGAGCGAAACCGTCCTCCACCAGTCCTCGATGATATGTTCTGGCTTCTTGCTGTGAGGAGCGTGAGCGACGAGAACGTCCACGGCGAACGAGTCGACTCGAAGGGCGGCGAGGAGGTAAGTAGGGGTCGCCGCAAGTGTCCAGCAATGCTTGGCCTGCAAAGATACACCGAGAAGAACTTCGATGAAGGTATTGATCCAGAGAGAACAGCCAAACCGACGAGATTCATCAGCCTCTGAATGTATAATATGGTATGGTGCCACAGTGGAAACCCCAGAGCGAGGAAACCTGGTCTCGACAGTCCCGATCAGGAAAAAATGATGTCGGCTGAAAGCTGCACTCAACTGTTTCATGCGACCCGAGAGAAAGAGTCCCGAGGGCTTGGCCGATGATGCGGATAGCGTGCCTGGGCTGAGGGACAGCACGTTGGCAGCTGCGACCCATAGCTGGCAGGAAGAAGCTCCTGCAGTAAACTGGTCACAAGCAACTGGCTGTCTCGTGTCTAGGCGCAGGAGAGAGGTGAGAGCTGATGCTTTCTCGGACTCCGTCTCGAGGAAGTTAGGCATCGCTGCTCCTGCGCTGGGTGGGTACTGCGACTGCACGCTCTGCGGCTCGAACCTGAGCCACAGCCACTGGAGCGCCTGGGGTGATTGTAAGCACCTCCTCCAGGATGCGTCGGGCGTCGGGAGATCACCTTTGCCTAATGAGGCGAGCGTGGCGACTGTGTCCGCCATCTCGTTCCAGGGCTGGCCAGAATGGCCTGGTACGTGCAACCAAGAGACACCACGTGCGAAATACTGAACCACTTTCGCAATGCTGTCAAGCTCGATGCGTGCCGAGCGTAGTGAAGCACTGAGCGCACCTCCTCTGGCAACTCGGAGAGCCTCTAGATTATCACAGTGAACCTGAACTTCACATTCATGACATAGGCTAGCATACGAGGACTGCAAGAACCAAGCCAAGGCCCATTGAGCTCCATATAGTTCAGCAGCCAATGAGGTAAGATGTGGGGGGATCTCGATGCCCAAGACGTCGCCCTCGAAGCCTAGGAGCGCCATGTGCCCAAGAGAGTCCTCGACGAAGACCACAAAGGCCCAGGCAGGCCTGCCCCTAGATGAACCTCCAGATCCATCCGTGTAAATGTGGAGAATAGACGGGATGATATCTGAGATATGAGCGAGCCTAGGAAGGGCCCCAATGGTGGTAGAGTGCCAGTACTTGGCCAAGGCCCAATAGTTGGGATTGATAGGCCTGTCCCAAGATCTGAAAAGTTCCCGAAAGACGATGGACGTGTCCAGTAGGGGACTCGTCTTGCATCCACGTACTTCGATGGTACTGGGCTGCGATAACTGCGGTAAGCCCGAACAACCAGAAGGCCCTTCAAGAAGGCCTTGCTCCTGATGATTAGTCTGACTGTCGTTCATATCCACCTGACCTGGTGGCAGCCAGCTCTCTGCTCTGGCTGCTCGGGTTAGTGAAAAACTGCTGCACGATCTGCTGCAGCGCCGTCCTGCTCCGCGTCCTCGTCCGCGATCATGGCGTCCGAGTGCACCTCTTCCTCGCCATCCTCGTGCGGCAGGCATATGCTCTTGTGCGGCGGCTCGAGGCTGTCGTCGTCCTTTGAAGATCGGCCAAGTGACAGCCTCATCTGTCCAGGGGCCTTGGCGGCCTGCTCCAAGCGAGACCTCGCAGCGTTCACCTTGCCCTGTGTCTTGATGACGCCACCCTTGCCAATGTGCGATGTGGGTCGCTGTGCTGCCGCGGAGCCTGCTGCCACTGGACCGCTGGCAACTCCACCTGACGGCACTGCATTCCCTGGAGTAGGAGATGCTGAAGGCGGAGCTGCATGGACTGCTGGCTGCGGTTGAATAGTGAGTTGACTCAGGGTAGCCTGAATCGTCACGATGGAGCCCTGCAGCGCCGTCAGTGCTGATGTCATGGCATTCTGATTGGCCTGAAGATCCGCAATGACCTGCGGCGGCACCGGTGCAGTTGGCACGAATGGCGATGGCGGCTGAGGCGTAGGCGCTGTTGCCGAGACTGGCGTGGGCGTCTCCTCGAACGTGACGGACTTGTTGGGGCTCTCCTGCTCGGCCAGCACCTTGAAGCTCTCCAGAAGTGAGGACGCCTGGTTGAGCTCTAGTGACATGGCTTCGCGATGCTTTTGAGCTGCTGAAAGGGCTAGCTCTGCTTGACGTTCTGCTTCTTGCGCTGCCTCGAAGCGCTTGCCGATGCGCTCCAGGTACGCCTGCTGATTGCTGACTCTCTCCTTCGACGGGTACGAATACAGATGCATGAACTGGTAGACTGAATACTCG